ACATAAAATTTGTTTTTACTTTAATAAAAAAAAAAACAGGAGCACAACATTTGTTTTTGATTCTGAATGTTGATTTTTTGGAAACGAACTATCTTATTTTACTTCCCTACTGAAACAAATTATTTTTTCAAGAAATTTAGAATAAAAAAGATGAATGGTCGGTGCCCTATATAAACAGTATTGTCAATAATTGTTTTGGCATTGTCATAATCATTGTTTATGTCCGTGGCAAAATAATTATTTATCAAGCGAAGTAGAAGTAAGGACGTCATATCATAATCTATGCTACCATTAGAACAAGAAGAAACACAGACGTTTGTTTAGGTCTGCATCAACATGCCTTTTTAATTACGGTACCAATTTACACACACTCGGATTTTATTAGTCATAACTTTGTTTCATCTGAGAATGGAATGATGCAAAATAGCCAAAATCGTCATTAGTTTATCATAAAGTGTACACAATGTCAATAAGTCAAAGGAACTGTCGAATAAAATGGAAACTATTTTTAAACTTCACAGGTAAAAATGCATTATATAATTAACGAAATATGCTTCATAAATTTTATGAATGACTTAGAATTTTATCTTTCTTTTAGTATGCATGTTACGAAAAGAGAGCATAGAGAACGACGATTCGTGTCTTGCTAAACGTCCAGCGAGAGCTATCACAACTACGCTTCCAACACAAAAAAGTATGTAATTTCAAATCATCGAACTTGTGTCAAAATTTCAATTTCGAGTTATCTTCCCGAATATGTATGAAATATTTGACAATTGAAGATCTGCAAACGCCTCCGGGTGCGGGATTTTCTCGCTGTGTTGAAGACCCATCGGTGGCCTTCGGTTGTTTTCTGCTCTTTGGTCGGGTTGTTGTCTCTTTGACATTTTCCCCATAAATTTCAATTCTCAATTTTACACATAACACAAACATTTTATATTGTGAAAATTAATTTCTACAAATATAAAAAGTAAAGAAACTACCTATATATCATCGTTTATATATGAATATGTATAATTGACCATTAATTTAAAGAATGGGGAATCGGAATTCGAGAGAAAACTAAAATAAAACAGACCGCGAAAAGAGAATAGTTAAGAATAAAAAAAAAAAAAAAGTAAAAAGAATGTACAAAATATTTCCTCATATATACTGTTTTTGTTCATGTCTATGTACATATAACTGCAGGCAACCAATCTGGTGATATTTGTAAACTGAACTAGAGTTGTCCCCAATTTGCTAAATATTGTAATATTTTGTGAAAGGTCGGAATTTGGAAAACAAGACTATTTTGTCTGTTCATTTTACATTTGGTCTTCATTGCAGGGAAACAGATCTTCTAATTGGAAGGAGGAAGCACTAGTTAAAATTTAGATTTTTAGATTCAGGCAACTTGGACTGACTTTCCCGCCTGAAATGTTGGTTAGACCGCACACTATGCAAGTATTTAGTATACCGGTATCAGCTATTAGTTATTTAAAATGCATCATTTTTAGTGAAAGTCAATAGAGAATAAATTTTATTTTTTATATCACACTAACTTCAAAAGACATTTAAAAAGAGTCTTACATACCGTTAACCCTTTTTAAGTATGGAATTTATTTTCGTAAAGAGATGACATTTATGGCCTTTGTGGTTACGCAATTTTGAGATAAGTAATTAAGTCACCTTGTCAAATACAAAGTGAATAAAAAGGTGAAGGTCGAAGTATGCCTTTAGTCTAGCCATGAATAGTACTGCATATATATTTATATAGGAAATGTAGTTGAAATTATGCAAGACATTTGCAGAAATTTGGTTCAACCTTAGAATCAGTTCATTGAGTGTTAGTTATTACGGCAATGTCAAACGAGAGAATGATAAGAAATTCAAAAGTTTATAGATTATAAAAGGTTGATGGGTCAATTCGAATAATGTGTAGCCCGCACTATTAAAAAGAAATCACACAACTCAGGAGGGAATTTAGTTCACAAATTTTTGAGTTTGTAAAATTTTGTTGTTTCAAAATATTGTGTTTTTTATCGACATAAATTTAAAAAGTTCCGCAGTAAAAATAATAAACATCACAAACGTTTTGTCATATTATATATAATGAGTTTTGTAATTGTTTTCACCAAAACACATAATTATATAATAAATTGATTTCAAATGCGCAGTTGTACGCTAAAGTTTCTTGGGATATAATAATTGTACAAACTGTAATAGAAGACAAAAAAAAATCGAAATATGCAATAAATTAGCAAAACTATGTTAAAACTTTGCAGTTAATAAGTGCACACTTTGCGCAGTGCTATGAACTTTTATATAAACACAGAATCAAGGCATTAGTAACGATTCATCACTTCATCTCCTTTATCATGTTTATGTAAAAATATATATTTCAGGGCAATAATCAGTTTATAAATACTATTTTCAAATTTAAGACATCAAAGCTTTACTTTTGAGACTGGTCAAACAAAGGGGCTTCACCTTCTTTTCATTTTAACCCCAAGGGTGACTGGGAATAAGAAATATGATCACCTTTGATCTTCTTCCGACCTGCAGTTAAACCTTTGCCAAAGTGAGATGTCAATATAAAAATAGTTTGGTTGTGCGGGATGTATAAATACACAACCACGTCCGGTCAGAATATGGGGACGTACATCCGATTTCTCCTCTAGAGAGAGAGAGAGAGCCAGGATATGTGCACGTCAAAAATTCTTTTAAAAACTCTCTGAGAGGTCAGTAGGTGACCTGGTTAAGGACGAAACTTCTGTTCCTATCTTATATAATTATCCTCATTTTCTAGCGGCAGTCTAAATTTGCTGCCCTTCATCCCGGTCGACCCCTATAACAGGACATACCTATTGTATTAATTGTTAATTTGTTCAAGTTATAATAGAAAAGCAAAGGATATGGGGTACCATCCATGACACAAAATCAGTACATACATAGCAAAATAAACATAAAAAGCAAAGGAACAGTGTTTTTCATCACAGAGTCAAAGGGAGGCCTTCGAAACGGAGCGAAAAAAAAACTCCCATCTCACTGCAAGTTTAAGACGGCCTTAGCACCGGCTTAAGCGGAATTCTTTTCAAAAACATACATGAAGTATTTGCCACTGGACATAAAGCAAACAACAATCATCTAATCAATCTTTTTCATTCTAAATCAACTCATCATAGATACCAGGATTGAAAATTTGTACGCCAAACGCGCGTTTTGTGTACAAAAGACTCATTAATGACGCTCGTACGAAGTTGAAGAGCATTGAGGCACCAAAATTCCTAAAAGTATTGCCAAATACAGCTAAGGTAATCTATTCCTGGTGTTGAAAAACCTTAGTATTTCGACAATGTACAATGTAGAAACATATATATTTACCGCGCCACACTATTTAAACGATATTTATCCACTATGTTTTCAAACTTGATATGCGAGGTTTACCGAGCTTGTTCAAATAAATAAATGGGCATGTAGGGACACGTAAGGAGACAATAAATCCAAGGATAGTAATGACCAAACGAAACACACAGTGTTAAAAAATAGACAGGACTGGTATATTGACAAGCTCTTAATCGAACGAGTCTAAAACTTTGTGAATCTACAGACATTGTCATAGATCTGCCATCAACTTCAAATTAGCCAATTAATTAAAACTGTGTTATCTAAATACAAATGTATGAAATTAGTCCATTGCTAATACAGACAAGAATTATGTCCAGAGGACAACATGCCCCGCTCCTATTAGTTATCAAATTTTTAAATCCAGTAAACCGAGAAATCTGGATCAAAGGTCTTATTTGGTATAGATATTAGATATCTTTTAAAGTTCATCTCACGTAGATCCTCGACGTCATAGTAAACTCTTGGTAGATAGCTGTCTCATCTGCAATCATACCAAATTTTCTTATCGTTTACACTTAAAGCTAAATAATTTACCAGATTGACGAACAGACGGACGCACAGACCAGAGCATATGATGTTCCTGAACTATCGAAAGCTAGGCTTCATAAAACGTATCAAATATTACCATATGCTTTTTTAATCTACCAATACATATGGATAATCAATACTGAAGGTGTAATCTACCAATACCTATGGATAATCAATACTGAAGGTGTAATCTACCAATACCTATGGATAGTCAATACTGAAGGTGTAATCTACCAATACCTATGGATAATCAATACTGAAGGTGTAATCTACCAATACCTATGAATAATCAATACTGAAGGTGTAATCTGCCAATACCTATGGATAGTCAATACTGAAGGTGTAATCTACCAATACCTATTGATAATCAATACTGAAGGTGTAATCTGCCAATACCTATGGATAATCAATACTGAAGGTGTAATCTACCAATACCTTTGAATAATCAAATATTGAAGGTGAGGATGCCAAATGAAATGACTTTCGTCCGATCACTTAATTTGTTAAAAAAAAACTCCATGTAATTCAAGGAAAGCTTTGTGTTCAATGCTGCGATTTTCAAAACTCGTTATCATATTCAAATCTAAGCTCCTTCAATCTCATACGGAATTACCAAAAGACAATATATTTATATCGCTGAAGAAATATATCAAATAAGTAAATTGTGTTCATATTAACGACATAAAACCAATTCACTCAATATACTATTTTCATATAATCGACTTTTGATTCCGGATTATATATTTTTTGACATGTTATCTACATTGTTTCAGGACATTCTGGTACTCGGTCAAATATGAGCAGCATAAAAAAGTAAAGTCAACCTAACAACCAGTCCAATTTTGGGTAAAACTTAACCGGTTTCTAAATTGCACCGATTGTAAGCGAAAAGAGAGAAAAAAGCAAACCAAAGCCCACATTACACTACAGTAACACTGCAGTATAACAGAAATGAAGATTTTTCAATGTCCACAAAAAAGGGGGTGAACTTATAAACATCGGCCGAGTAAGCAGCTCCTGCTCCATCATGTTTGCACCTGTCGTGTTTCTCATGAAAAGTATGAAAATAGTTAATATATACTTACGACTTGGAATTTAGATGGACCTCCAAGTTCTATGTCATTTTCACCTTCACCGATGAGAGTTTTGTTTTGACGAGTTGAATTTCCATATAATATTCCAAAACAAGTGAAAACAAACAATACAAACAAAACACAGTGTCCTAAAGTCCGGAACATTTTAGGCTTGGCCGAATATCGTCTTAGTGTATTACAATCCCAACACGTGTTTTGTGCAGGTATGAATTTCTGATGATATATTTTATCTATATGAATGAAACCTTTCTCACAATCGCGATTACAACATTTAGTACATGTGTTATTTAATGAACTATATATTCCATATGATATAGCTGAATCGTCCTGGGAATGTTGCGGCGCTGTTCCGTCTCTGATCCTAAAATTAGAAAATAATTTTAAAGTTGCGAAGTCATGTTTTTCAATTTTCGATACAAAAAGTCCTTACAGAGTTACTTAAATACACATTTGTAGTAATTTTCTCGTTTTCACAGCGAGATCATTTTTCAACTAATTTGAAAATTATACGTAATATGAATTTACCTTTGATAAAAACAAATTAGGTTTTCTCCGTATCACATATTGTAAACACAATGATCTTAATTGTAAAAATACATGAAATGATTCTTCATATCACTGCCTGGCTATCCATGTAATAAAAAAAGTCCGTTATCAGAGAATAAAAAATGTACACCCACTCTAACAGGGGTTTATCTAACCGGAATATAAACATTGGCAGTATCTACGGGTCAGACAATGGCATTTTGCCTGATAGTGTTGCATTTTGTACTGATGGCGAGAGAAATATCGTTAGTAATGATAACAGTATCAAAATGGGTAATTCCGAATGTATTGTAACAATAATCAAATATTTAGCTACATGTACTCTATCTTTATATAAACTTATATTCTCTATGCAGATCAAATGAATATACGTTTTTTCTAAATGTGGTAAAATTTTATTTGAAAACACAGAAGGTGGAATAAGAATGGTTAGACGGTTTTATACTAGAATTTTCCAGATAAAAAAATCAAATAAAGATGTTGTTTTTTTTTTTTTTTGGCAATGTTTGACAATCAAACAATTATGTATAAATTAGGCGTTTAAAGACTTTTAAGAGTAAGATTACAAATCATGCTTTCGAAGCTTTAAGAATTCATAGCTTTACAATAATTTTCCAAAGACGAGAAATGCATTTTTGTCATGTGATCAACTCAACAAGAAATGTTTGACCAAGTGATAAACGCCAGTAACGAGTCCCAAGTTAGGAACTACAAGATTTATACGGAATATTTCACCGACTACAAATTCTGCTACTACTGATGATAATGACGTTTCTCGTTTCAGTAAGCATTGAAAAGGGGCGACAGATACCAAAGGGCATTCAAAATGAACAGTGGCGGAAATGCATAGGATAGAAACCAGTACAATGTCGCAGGAAAATGTTTACAAGTAATTAAAATTTGAAAGGAAGGTTTGAAATAAAAACATATTTTCTGTATGACTAATTCATCATACCAGATCTATAATAATTAATGCTTTACGGTATTTATAATGTTTTAATTGGATTTATAATCAGCAGAGATAATATTTATATCATGCCATTTCGTGCAGTTAACATGTTGATCGAAAAACATGTTGCTTCTGGGATGTTATTGATGTACAAAATATCTAGACTCATTTATTGATAACAAAGTTACATTGCGGTTAAAAATACCACCGAAAATTGATTTACAGATCAGATTGTTTTGTTGTAATTTTACCTTTGATTCCTGTAATTAGTAATATTAGAGCACCAACCGGTATAGAACTTTAATAATCTTGTGAAATAATCTACTTAAAAGTTAAACCGATGCTAAAGTAATTGCGTCCGTTATAAATGAGTACAATAAATCCAGTTTCCTCGTGTAGGGAGTGTACGACGCTTTTTGCACGATAATGAACTATTGCAACACCTCTCTAAGGGGTCAACAGTAGGCATGTTGCATGGTAAAATTTCTGCTCCTATCGAACATAGTACTCTCATTTTTCACAAGCAGTCGACATACTTTCAGAATCTACCTACTGGACCATTTTCATTACGCAAAAAATCAACTTGTTAGAGCAAAGGACCTGCCATTCTTTTTTTTATGATATCAATCTTGAAATCACAGCTAAACCTTCAACATGGTGCAAAATTTGTCTCTTCACTTCAAGTATAGATGGCCATCTGCACCGGTTTTAGGTGAAGTTTTTGTTGGACGTCGATCACGCTACAACTGTGTATTAGAAACCCACAAAATCGGGATCATATATACAAATTATAAAATATATCTGACAATGAAATCCAACAAATATGTCAAAAATAAAGTTCAACACATGCGGTTATAACAAATACAATATATTTTTATCAGTCTTTAATCCAATAGTTCACTTTCAATGGTACATTTAATCGCGATGTAATGTTGTTTGTTTACCCCAATACAAAGGTAGAGCTTTGTTTCTCAAAATACAGAATTAAGCTTTGAATTGTAAGAGGTTTATATATAATATGTTTGATTGTTATCAACTTGTATTGGGCTTGAAAGACGGTAACTTTATTGTTTTATCCTCACTGTATTTGAGAAGAGCACAACTTTTATATCCCGCTTAAATACCATGTACTGCCTACAATCCCGTATTTATAGTGTGACATTAAGAAAACATATGCATGTCGTGGTTTATAATCTAAGATTGAACTATTCTGACGATTAATTCGTATTATGATGTAATTTTGAATTCTTGTGTGTAAATACCAGCTCGTAGACTGAAGGGATAGACAATAAACAATTGTACATGTATAAAGCAAGAAATTAACCTTTACTTTTGTGTTGAAATGTATCTTTAAAAGTTTCTATTGTCAAGACTATTCATAGTAGTTCATTTTATATGAATCAAATCTGGTTAAAACATCAATGAAATCCAACCAAATGGATAACATAGCCAAATGATATCTAGAAGGCAATACACAGTCTTCAACAGTAGACAGATGTCTATACAATATATAATATAAAAATAAGAAGATGTGGTATGATTGTCAATGAGATAACTCTCCACCAGAGACCAAATGACATATAAGGTTAGCAACTATATCATGTATGGGTCGCCGTATGTCCTTTAACAATAAGCAAAACCCATTCCACATAGCAAGCTATAAAAGGCACCAAAATGACAAATCTAAAGCAGTCACAACACTTACACATAATTATACAAATCAATCGATAACATTTCTGTCCGACTTCAATCATTTTAACATTTTTTTACATGTATGAATTAAAATTTAATTCGTCCAGAGGATCAAATAGGGATCTTAATAAACCCGAGAAGACAACTGTTTATGAGACAGGGAACTTTCCGTTCCTAACCGCAAATAACCAACCAAAAAAAAAAAAAATTAAAAAAAACTATATACAACCTCGACTAACAAAAAATTAAAAAAATAAAATAGATAAAAGAATGACGTAAAAAAAAACCATCCCAATTAGAAAATCCGAATTTTGAAAGAATTTCAAATATGATAATTTAGAATACATGTATATTGTACGTTATGAATGAGACACCTAAACACAGCATTATTACATAATATACCGTTTTTTTTTATATATATATGATATATCAATATGCACATCGTCAATCAATCATATATGTTTTAATTGCTTATTTAATGCAGAAATACGCCGCTACGGGACTCGATAATTGGCGTAACTGAAATTCTAGTTTCCAGAAATGCACCGGAATACTTCTACAAGTCAAATATGACTTTCACTTTTTTTGACATGTCTGCGATAAAATGTCAATGAACGTATGAATATTCGCATCTGCAGCAGTTGTTAAAAAGAAGCTTGTGTTACTCAAAAGTACATAGCACATACAAACAAAACAGTTACGTAACGCAGTAATGCCTTTAATCTTGCTATTAAGAAATTACCTACAATTTAGGTGTGTTGTTGTTTTGAACATACACTTTATAATTAAAGCATATATATTGATATTACAGTGGTACATAACACTACAGGGAGATAACTGTAAAAATCAACTGAACGTTTTAATCACGTTCTATTGTTAAGGAAATATTAAGCTTTTCAATGATTAAAATTAGAGTTGTCAAACTGCTATGTATCCAATGAATTTTTTCCGATAAAGTGTGTGGTTCAAGTTTTTTGATTTTTTTATATATTATGTCAAAGGGTCAAACTAAAAAATATTTTGTCAAAAATTTATTAAAATTAAACGAGCCCCAAATTAATTTTAGTCAAGATGGTTGGTACCACCTTAACGTTACTTAAATATATTTTTCTGAACATTATTTTAGGGAATATTTCACAACCACTTGTCTCTTATTTTATTTTTTTTTACCTTAATGCATACCTTTATATAATGGTGTACAGGTAACAAAACAAAAATCAGAGTCTTGTGGAATATTGTCATGAAAGATAACATAATCGATAATTCTGAAACTAAAGAAAACCAAACGCGTCACATAACCTTAAAAAAATGAAGAAGATACCAATGGGGCAAACAAAAAGCCACAAGTCGGACAATATAGGCTGAGTTTCCCAAAGACTAACGAAATCCGGAGATAATCTGAGTTTCTCCGGAACGGTAAGCAGATTATGCCCCACTATTGTCCCTCGCCTTTTTAAAAAAATCGTCTTACGTCAACTTAAATGTCGCTCCCGATTTTTTAGTTTGCATGGCCGAAAGCTTTGGTATCAAGTGCCTATTTATATAGATTGTTGTTGTCCTTATTTTGTCCTCTGGGGAGCGATGTTTTGTCCTCTAGAGTTCGATGTTTTGTCTTCTAGGGTTTGATGTTTCGTCCTCTAGAGTTCGATTTTTTGTCCTCTGGGATTCGATATTTTGTCCTCTAGGGTTCGGTGTTTTGTCCTGTAGAGTTCGATGTTTTGGCCTCTAGGGTTTGATGTTCTGTCCTCTAGGGTTCGATGTTTTGTCCTCTAGAGTTCAATGTTTTGTCCTCTAGAGTTCGATGTTTCGTCCTCAAGGGTTCGATGTTTTAATCTCGTTTCAAAACAGCTTATTTGGTATCGTGTACACTTGTAATTTATTGTTTTAATAAAACTTTTAATTCTCCTTTTTACAAGTATGCATAATATACTACGACATACAAACACAAGTGCATGTACACATATGTTATGAAATGTCAATATCACCAGCTGTGAAGTTGACATTGTATTGATAACTGTGGGAATTTTAGACATAATCTCGGCTATTTTCGTCTGTGGTATCTTGTTCATCACTTCTGACTGTCGTAAATAGATTTTTAACCTTCATTCATACAATCAAAAAATCCGTTGCACTCCATATGGGGCCATCCTGATCAAAACCTGAGAATTTTTTGTTAACCTTGAAGAGGGTATCCAACACCTTGACTTAGAAATTTTATTCACTCAATTTACAGGAATAATTTCACTGGATACATAGACGTTGACAAGAACTAATTTTGATCATTGAGTAGCTTGATTTCTCTTCACTTATAGTAAGTGAATAAAACGCTCAGCTGATTTTTAAAGAGTTAACTCCCTTAGGTGTTCTGTACCTCCTAAACTGCTGCAATCACTCGCTTAATAAGAAACGACCAAAGACGTTTCATAACTTGTCCCAAGAGATGATTCGTTTACTTTTCCTTCCATATTAAATTGTAGCGAATAAGTAATTATTTTCCAAGTGGAAATCAAGACGACAGTGTATTACCACGCCGGAATAGTCCATTTGCCATTTACCGATTTGACTCTGTTGTTACACATCTTAAACATAAATCATTTCCCTTTGTCAATTCTAGTCTGGTTCTATTCCAGACAAAATAGGTTTCTGCCCACGCAAAGCATGATAAGTTGAATGTGATATATCGGAGTTTAAACCAGTTTTTAGTGAAACACAACTATTGGTATAACAAGTTTTTAGCTTAACAAAAAAATAAATCTAGTTAAATGATTTGAAAGCTTAAAGGTTACACACATTACGCACAGATAAATTTGCTCTTTCTGCAAGCTCTTAATTGTCAATGAAAATTAAATGCCGATTTCTTACTACAGGGTCAATTACTGGAATTTGAAAATAAACAATTAGAAAAAGCACTTCCGTTGTGGCGTCAGCCTTCCAAGTTTTTTTTATATTCCCTTTGATCCCCCTCTTTCTCCTCCGGCGGGGAGGGGGGGTCCCCAACCCCAAACACCATAAAGCGTTATCAGTTTACATACAAATATTATATCTGAAGTATGAATTTTGATTTCTCAAATGTATCGGAGTTAAATGACATTTTCCATAAAAAGTAAAGAATCTTTAAAATGGAATTCATTTTCTTTTATTTTCACGAAGTTAGCCGTGATGTGCCTACAAGCCATTCAAACAAAGTTATAACAGAACTATCACATTTTGATAAACGTATATCAATTTGTTTAACTAAACTAGTAGCATTTAGAAAATAAACAAATGAGCATGTTTTTCTATTTGAACAAATGCATAATATGTGACCAGAAAGATCCATGTAAATTTAACTAATACATACTTGAATAACATAAATTGATTAAATAGTTTTCTCAAATCCAAATTTAAATACATACATATTGTAGATATCATTTCTTTTACAAAAATCACATGTCTTACCTACGAGGTTATAAATAATCCCGATGATGCAACGTAATAACACATATTTACAGTGTGACATATGTACCATTGTTATATAATATCATAAATTATGACGCAATCGTAAAAAGGAGAGAATAACAGTTTTAGAGGTCATTTAAAAACCCAATGTCAAAAGTTTAATGGTTTGTATGCGGAAATGTAAAATGAAAAACATAAAAGCTTTTAGTATGTCAACAGACTGATATTATAATTACATTGCATGTTGACAAGTGTCTACAGTTTTTCTTATATATTAGACGTCTACACATTTAGTGTTTTTCTTTACAAATATGACAACTTTTTTCACATTGTAGACTCTCTTTTCCTTTTAGGTCTGTTTGTTTGATTTGTTTCGCGTTACTTTTCGTATACTCAAACAATGTCTTGGCGGTCACTCTTTTCCATACCGATGAATCAAGTACACCTTTGTTTTCTCGTAAAGAATAGAGTTTAGTGGGCTGCAGTGTTCTGCATTAAACATTAATCTTAAGCTTAAGTTAGAGTTCATTCAAATCTAACACCACAGTTCTCAGGTATTGTTCAAACAGTTGCCTGAACGATGCACAGCAAATTAATGTGTATTACCTAAATGTTTGCACATTTATAAAAAAAAAATGGTTATTACTGTTTTAAACTTTTATAGATATTAAAAGATATCTTGAATAGCACAAACAGGACTGATTGTACACAGGCTTCTGACTTGGTAAATATAATGGAAGATTTTGATATCATGGTTAACGAAATGTACAAAATGTGTGTATATAAGAATTTCAATGCTTCTTTTTTATTTTATTGTGCTGTAAAAGCCTTGACAGAAGCATGTTTTGTTCGAAGCGCGGAAATGTGTGCACAGTTTAATTTTACAACACTATAGAATTACAAAAGAAGTATTCAATTTTTATAATTACATTTTTATGCTACAACCATGAAATTACATGAGTAACATCGTGCCTTTCGTTTGTTTTACATTGCATTGCTTTGATTTTGTCACGAAGAGCACGTGCAGTCATAATATTGCATTTTATACGGAAATAAAATATAACTTTTGGAATGACTTGACCAATCAAAATAACGGAATCGTATAAAACTGCTTTGAAATGTAATTATAACTGAGTGAAATACTTAAAAAAATTAGTTGCTACTTACCAAGTTGTATGGTTATTCAATATCAGAAAATAATATCAAATTTAAATATTTATGTATTTCTAATACTTTCTATTTTTCAAATTACCCCCCTTTATTTACGTGGCGTTAATTTATTCCTCGCCTGTTGCACCACGCGATGTCTATATCCAATGGTCAACGGTTCTTCAAATTTTAATCTTGATCAACTGCACAATATGTATTATACTAGTCAAAGATATAAAAATTAAATATACAGCGGCAAAAATATTTTACCTTTTAAGATTATGTTGTGAAAAGGCGCCTGTATAAATATTTGTTGAAATCAATACCATGCAAGCATATAGTACATAAATATGTGTATGTTATTCATTCATTCATTTTATGATTTGTTTTGGTATTTTCATTCATAAAATTGATTCCGTAAGACGTAGGAGTGTGCACAATAACAGATGTTCATAGATCAAAGTCAATTCACTTCGATGATGCAATATTTTATTATGAATTTTTATGCAAATAAATTGTCAGGCGTAACTTGTAAATAGAACGTTGAGAACGATTATTTAATACATGTAAATAGTACATGAATAGATTTTCTCAATATCAAAATCAATTAAATAGAAAATAATAAAGAAAGTAATAAACTTTCAATGAATTCTTGCATAAAGACGATGTATTGAAAAGTATAATTATTTCGCAATAGACTTCATACTCGCAATTTTGATGTTGGTAAAATTGCACAGGATTTGTATCGGCATTGCGATATCTTTAAATCGAATTTGTGTAAACAACACATTTGAAGTCTTCTATCTTAAATATTTCATTTTGAATTGTTTATTTGCTATAAGTTAAGAAAAACACTCTCCACAAAAACATCTATGTATACATATCAATATTATTGTTGTAGTTGTAATTTTAATTTTTATGTTTTATACATGTGTATGCGTGTGTGAATGGCTTAACGTAGTTTCAGTATTCAGCCTTTCAGTGAAGACGCACAGCAAAACGTTTTATCGTACTTTTTTGTACCTATATCACTGTATCAACTGATCTCCAAGTTTCTATGGTTAATTCTCGTATCACGGCAGTGTGAAGTTTGATTAGAACTTATAAGCGAAGTCACGCTATGACGAGATTTCTATGATTTAACGAGACCAAAAATCTTAACTGGGACATTTTCTGTTTGATCAAATAGTTATTTTGCATTCCCTTTCACTTAAATTCAGTTTACGAAACTAACAGATCTTACTTGACTGACAAAATGACAGAAATTATTAATGTTTTAACGCCTAGTGACAAATATTTCATGTATATTCAGAACGAAATCAAATTATCAATCAATATGAAATTAAGATCTGGTAGGTACGTCGACCTGGGTCAAGGACGGGGAATTTGTGCCATAACAGACAATCAAAATAGAAATAAGACATGGAATAAAAAGCAACAAGATAGTCGTACAGATAAACAAAAAGACATGCGCGCAACTCCAAGCGACAACTTATGTAGTCTGAACCCGAAATAGTGCCCGGTGCTCCGGTAGGGTAGGAACATCGAACTTCGCATTATGGTGTGAATCGAAGTAATATTAAAATTACAAAATAAAAATTTCTAAAAAAGCATTTCTTAGAATTGGTACATATGAATTCCAATAATTATAGTAGAGTCTAAAATCGAATCACAAATACGCTTGTATGTGATTGTATATAAATGTTTTTAAAAAGGTAATCAAATCTAGTTACTTCTATTGTTACGATTAGCCATGTTTTGTTTCACAGATTTAAAAGTTTTGCCTCCATTCAAAGCGGATTTTTTTTTTAATTTAAAGTTATTTTTTTTTGTTTTTTTTTATTCATTTAAAAAAAAGGCTTATAATTTTAAAAGTGTTTTAGTTCATGTAATTTGAAAGACGCGACAAAACTATGACAAAGTATAAATGAATCTTACCTTGATTTATTCATGCTTGTATATTCTCACTAGTTAGATTTATATACTTACAACCATTGACATATCTATATGATATATATGATATACTATACGCCTGTTTAAACATTTGATGCAAGCATGCATATGAAAAACATATCAATTAAATCTATCTCTTTTTTTTTACATTATCACATTCAAACCTCATTTTAAGAAGATAATTTTACCTACTTTTTTTTGTACCAATCATAACGTTCTCCAAAAACTGTAATTTAAGCCCAAAAGGTGTAAAAGGTGATGTTCGTAAATTTCTTTCTTACATGCAAATTTGTATTAAGAGTTTAAACAATATCAATTAACATAGATCATGTACTTTATAAATCTAATATAGAACGAAGTACTTGTACTGAACAAAGTGGTAGTTTGTGTTTTGGGAATGTTAAAAAGGACGTGTTGAAAATAATAGTTTAATTTATGGGTATAGTGACCAACACTTATTTTTATGAGATTCATTTAAAAAGGTGTTAAAAAGAAATGTTGGAAAAATGTAATACTAAACTTTGTGGAACAAAACAGGATTGTGTTGTGAGTTTACTGTATAAATTTCCAAGAGATATAATAGGACAATTGCACCCGGTTCGCCATCTTGTTTACTCAAAGCTTTGTGACAAAAATTTGGATTTCAATTAAAGATTCCGTAACCATGAGATTCAGAAAAAAAGTCCACTAAACAAATAAATATTTGAAATATGTACTTAATACCGGGCTTGTACTAACATGAGCAACAAGACGGGTGCCCTTCCGGAGCACCTGAGATCATACCCCAGTTTTTGTTGGGGTTCGTCGGTTGCTCAGTCTTTAGTTTTCTATGTTGTGTTTTGTGTACTGTTGTTTGTCTTATTCTTTTTTAGCCATGGTGTTGTCAGTTTATTTGCGACTTATGAGTTTGAACGTCCTTTTCGCCTCTTTTTTAAAAGCGCAGAGATGACAACTGCGCATCAGTGTTTGTACATGTAACTACAGTTTGTTTTCATTACAACTATAGATACACAAAAATATATATTTAAAACAATCTATTATAGTTCAAATCTAACCCAATACATCAGCCGATGTTTACATTTCTTTATATATTCTATATCGAAAAAAGCAGAACATAGATTTTAAATTTAAAGATATAAAAGATAATTTTTAAAGTAATTGCAGTCACGAGGACGATTTCTATCAAATGATTCCTTCTGTTTTTATTTCCAGCAAAAGAAATTTCATTTTTTGAAATATAAAGTTGAAAACAGATTTATATAAACAGATAAATGAGTATATGAGCAATTTCTTTTCAAAGCAAAATATAGGACTCATCATTCATATCCCGCCAGACATTTTAGTTTAAAACAAGTTTTATTTAATAAATGATAGTTTTGAATATTAGATACAAAGGTACTATACCCATGTTATATAAAATAAGAAGATGCAGTAGGATTGCCAATGAGAAAACTTTCCACCAGAGACTAAATGACATAGGTGTAAGTAAGAAGTAATTTATAGGTCACCGTACAGCCTTCAACTATTACATGCAGCAAAACCCATACCGCATAGAAAGCTATAAAAGGCCCCGATATGACAAATATAAACAAACTAACGATCTGAAAGCAAAAAAGAAACACGTACATGGTAACCTGCAAACAAAATTATCTCAACGTCACATACATCAGATGCCGATAGTATATCGGAGGGTCTGGATTGGGGGGTCCTCTATTTCTATATTCTTTAATATTTTAGGCCATTTTTCACTATTCTTTATATTTTTTGCCCATTATTCTGTATTCTGTAAACCCCCATCCACACCCTCATATCAAGATTACTCTACAAAATGAGGGAGTAAGAATAGATTGTCAACTATAAACGTCTTTGATTTTTATCACATTTCTTCAAAATAAGGACCACATTGATACTGTGGTTTTTATTTCAGTGTTTTAAATAAGATTATTAGATATATTTCTCATTAAAGGATCGCTTATCCATGTTATCATACATAGTTAGTTATCACTCAACATTTCTGCCACCTGCAATGTCGGTATAATTGTATATTATATTACATTTCTATCAATCGGTTGTTTGCTGGTTAAAATCATTTTACATTGGCACCGAATTACATTTGATAATTATCAAGATGCGTTTCTTTATCACTTCCAACTAGATAAGTAAAAAAACCAACTCATATAAACCTTCAAAAGCTGTCACCCTATTAGCGTACGACTGACTGATACCACATTTCTATTCGTTGATACGGCGGCAGCTATATCCGAGTGAAACATTTATACCCTTCCTGGTGTAATAGTAAGGTTTTTGTTGGATTTCGTATTACTCAGTATTTAGTGTAGCTTTCTGTGTAATGTTGTAAATGCTTTTGGCTTCTTTCTTTCTTTCTTTCTTTTTTGTCATTGTTTTTGTCCGTCTTCGAATGGTGACCTTTTATTTACCCTCTCGCCCTTTCCTCCCCTAGTTATCCCATAGGTCTCAGAAATCAAAATCCATAAGGCGGCACGTCATTGGTAAAAAAAGCATTTATAACATGAGTCTAGTACGCAGTTTGTATATAGATATAAAAAGATGTGGTATGACTGCCAAGGAGACAACTCTCCATCCAAGTCACAATTTGTAAAAGTAAACCATTATAGTTCAAAAATGACTAGTGTAAAACCATTCAAACAGGAAAACCAACGGTCTAATCTATATAAAAACGAGAAACACTTATGAACCACATCAACAAACGACAACCACCGAACATCAGGTTCCTGACTTAGGACAGGTGCTAACAAATGCAGCGGGTTTAAACGTTTTGATAGGCGACAACCTTCACCCTACCTGAACAATAGTGTAACAATAGTGTAACAATAGTGTACTCTGTTTTTTTCTAACTTAAATTTTCCAGAAGTTTCTCTATTCGTATAGGTTGAAGGGGCCTCGTTGGCCATGTGGTCTAAGTAGTCCAACTGCTATATCACTAGCTAGTCAACACTGAGGTTGTGAGTTCGAATCTCGCAAGGGGCAGGTGCACTCGACTCCAATCTTAATTGACTAGGATTGTCAGGTTTCCTACCGAAGGTCGGTGGTTCTCTCCGGGCACTCTGGCTTCCTCCACCAATAAAAACTGACCGCCACGAAATAGCACAATAGTGTTGAAAATGGCATTAAACAACAACCAATCAATCAATCAATCAAATGTATATGTTCACAGTTGAATTTCCAATTTGTTGATATGTTTATGTATCGGGAACCATTTGTTTTCAAATTAGCATTGACAAAAATTATCGTTCCCCTCTTGCGTAATGTAGATGATTTTCTCGTTGATAAAGATAAGAGAATATCAATGTTTTATCATTTTAATGAAAATAAACGCAGCTTATCAATAGATGTCATTTTAAGTATATGCATCCACTGACGTACGTACGTAAAAACGACCTTGAATTTTTTAAATTTTAATTTGCTTAAATTTTGTTGCCCTGCTTTTAACTTCTACTACTAAATTACTGCCTTGATAATTTCAAACTGCAAATCAAATGCATCTGACTTATCAGAATAAATTTATTTTATCAGCAACGTCAAAAGGGGCATAACTCTAAAAGATAAGGAAGATAACCGTGATAAAAACTTCTAATTGAATAAGATTATGCAGTGAGTAGTAAGAGTTACGCAAGTCACATAGTTTTGCTATCTAAATCTATTTGCCTTGTGGTCTTTTGCAGCATAAACATCAAAGTTATCACAATATCATTTCGGTGCAACGTTATGTCAACAGATGTTTCCAACGTGTTGTAAATCATTTATGTTGTGACGTAATGCAGACCACCTTCGGCAACCTTAAGCGTTTAGATAACTCTGACGGTATCAACAGCAAGGTAACTTCATTACAATTTCAAGGTCTACACAGTGTTTGAAGAAATCAGTTATCATCCTGTGAAATCTAAGTATCTGATACTATTACAATTTCCTTTCTGAGGTTATTGAATCGTTAGTATGTCAAGGTCTTTGTATGACACATATTTTAACAAGATTAGTTTTAAATAAAACACATTAATTTAAATTTTTCGGTTATCATTCGGCCTTTAACAGAAGAATATTACGGAAAAAGAAAATTTAAAAGGGGTAGACCTAGGATTACGGAGATGGCTCTTCAAATCTTCATGGGGAGGGGGAGAGGGAGGGGCCAAAAAGGGGGGACTTCAATACTTAATTGATAGATATCTCTAGGGTTCTGTTACATCACTCTTTTCATATAATTTAGATTTTAGAAATGTATAATTTTTTATATATTGCGTAGGTAAGAATGTAACCACATTCCGGCATAATCGAGAAAATATCATCTTTGCTCGAAGCTCAGATCTGAGGCTCAAATTCCTTATGTAGTGCTTACTTATGGCGAGACTTTCAGGGCTTTTCATATAATAAGTAATGGTAACTTTATTGACCTTATGAAATATTATATATACATAGTTTTCCCCACCTATTCACATATTTTCAAGCTGGAAAATGGCACCTATCACCTTGTATATAGGAAGTGCAATGTTTCCTAGTAGGTTTATTATTTCTTTTTTTGGAAATTCAGTCGATTTTGTCAACTTTCACCAAAATCTCTATTTTTAGCCTATTTGAGATGTGAATGCGTTATAAAAAAAAGTTTAACAAAATTAGTTCAATTTGAATTTCTTGCATATCTTTTGATCAACTTGAAACTTGGACCGCCTGTATCCCTGCACTATTAAAGTCATCAAGCGTCTTCGTGATCGTCATTATGCAGGATGAACTAGAAATAATGCTTATTCCGTAGGTACTCAATCACAATTCCCCAATGACAGCAGTGCTGATTATAAATTATAAGAATTTAATTTGCCGAATCATTCATGCAATATAGCATCAGATTTTTTTCTACCGCTCGCTCAACATGGGAAGGAAGTGGCGATGCCCCTAAACGCACGAATGATGTTCATAAAAACCATGGTTTTTGACGGAAATTCAACGAAATTGAAAGTGGTCTATTATTTGATTGATTTTTGCTTATACTCAACGTCCAGTGGCAATTATTTCATGATTATTCAGGACGAGA